TAGGAGAAATGAAATACTGACAGGATGCCGAACTTGGAGGAAAGGGTACATTTGCCGAATTAAACACTGATTTAATTTTGAACAGCACTATTACACTTCTGTTGCTCTTCTCCTAGCCCAGAATAATAGCTCAAAATTAGACTTATACAGGCTTGAGTAGGAAAGTTTTCAAGATAGGAAGGTCAATGCAACATTTTTCTCGCGGGAATTCAGACAGGAACTTGACAAAAATTTGACATAAAAATGTTTTGACGTTGCAAGGTTCCACTTGGTAACGTCCAACTGTAATACCCGACACTTGCCTCTAAGAGTCTAAGGTCTAAGGGATAGGCCAGGAAGTAAAATATTCCACGATTTGTTTGGAAGCTTTGTTACAGCAACTGACAATTTAGTCTTTTTTCATTACACGTTTTGTCGCGAAGTGCAGAGATTTTACATTTGAGGATCGGTCAACTCAATGAGCCAGTATTTTTCTAGTCCATTTTATTTTTTGCAGTCCAACATAGACTACTGATTACTGCATCAATACGGAATGCTTACCGCATGAAATTAATTCTCTCCAGTCATCCGTTTAAATATGGTGGGAAATCACATATTTTATAGGAATATAGGCGACTGACTCGGGGAAATGGTCTGAATATGTCACATAATTTGATCTGAAACAGTAAAAAAAATCAAGCGGGAATACAGTAGCTATATCGGAATAATAAAAAAACTAAGTTTTTGACCCAAAGCGAAAATGTTTGCAATTGGGATACACGATCTCTTCGTACCATGGTACAAAAACCTTACTAGCGTCAACCTCGTTAAACGGAAAGTATACTAGCAGGGTCATTCATTAACTAAGACCCCAGCGTACAGTAAAATGTTTCCATAACAAAGCCATTGGGACGTTAAAAATCTTGATTGCATAAAAAATGCATTAAAATGACGGTGTGACTGTACATCAGAGACTTCGTTCAGCACAATAATATTTTTCACCAGGATCTTTCGAAATAAATGTTTGTACGGTTTTTGTAAATTGGGGAGCAGTTCTTGCAAGGAGATGAGCTATTCTAAAATTGAAAAAAAAAAATCCAGGTGCACATCTTACGTGATCTTTTGATTACGGTGCACATCTTTTGATTACGTGCTCGGTATTAAAATTAATTAGGTACTTAGAAATTTGTGAACTTCGTGTTTGGCCCGGATAAGTTTTGTTGAATCTTCCTGAACCAAAGCGACAGATATCCATGAACGAGGGTATTCTCACCATTTTGTTCAAAAAGTTTTGCAGCTCCCACCAGGGCATCAGTGAGGTCCGCACACATGCCCACCTCTCCAATCGCGTAGCAGAACACAAATGGGTTCGGGAAAGTGTAGCAAGAAACAGCAGCACTGATGACATCTCCAGGTAACAGCCTTCGCCGCCGACCAAGTTCGTTGAATTTTAAAGAGACTTCAACACACTCGTCCCATCGCATTGCTCTAAACCGTGTTTCTCCTTTTCGCGGCCCAAGATCTACAAATATCCCGTCGCCACTAGCAGTAATCGAACCTTTCACGGTTGCCTCTGGAGAAAAGTCGGGAGGATTTTTTCCGCCACGTTTCTAAAAAAAAAGGAATAAAAAAGATCAACAGTCAATCGCGAAATATGAAAGAAGTTTTGACTTTCTCGGCCCTCTTCTCCATCAAGCATCTAAATCGAACTGGAGTAAATACAGTAGAACGATTATAATTAAGGTACACGTCTTCGTGATTTCAGCATTCAAATCTGGCGCCTGAAATTTCCATGAACCATTAATAATCGTTCAGTTACCCGACTATCTAACGTACCAAGATTATATGGAGTCTTGATCGGCGTCGGAAATACAGGAAGAATTTTTCTGCGTTCCACATTGACGTTGAACGTAATTAAAATGAAGAACATGAACAATACAAATGGAGCGCACATTCATAAATGATTGAATTAAGCAGTGATTCAGCGCTCATTTCTTTTCGTCTCCTGATTTGTACCCTCACGGTACATTGGTTCAAAACAACAATAAATGTAAGCACCACTATCCATGAATAATCCAGCATTATAGAAGCTAATTTCGTCGACACCAAGATCCCAGCTAGTTTTTGACGTGACAAACGGATGCTCTTGAACCCTTTCAAGAAATTATGAAACCCCGAGAAATGACGCTAGACAAAAATAAAAACGCACTTTTGACGCAGAAGCTTCATCCCGAAACGTTGACAGCCAGACGTCCGGAACTTCCATGAAAGCCAAGATCAAAGCAGGAAACGAATACGAAGGGTCGATCTCGGTGACCGTGGCTGCTGAACTAAGCTCCAATGTGCAGCCATAATCTTCAGAAAACACTACCACGGATTCACTCTTCTTCGATATAACAGTTCCACGGAAAACCCTTTCATTCGGGCCTTGGCGACACATAACCCGATCGGCGAATTTCAAGCTGTAGAAGTACAGGTCACATAATATATTCCCGGAGCAAGAATATCGTAAGCTTTAATCTTGCGCAAAAGATTAAAAGCCGTCTGCCCGCAAGCAAGGACGTCTTTCAACAAGGTAAGACAAACTACAAATACTGTATTAGACGCCTGGAATGCAAAAAACGCCGGGCTCATACATGGATCAATAAAATCGAAGATTGCTTCTATTAGTAGCTGGGGGGGGGGGGGGGACCCCCCCCCCCCCCCCAAAAAAAAGGAAAAAGAATAAATAAATAAAAANGGGGGGGGGGGGGGGGGGGGGGGGCCCCCCCCCCCCCCCCCTAAAGAATAGGAATAAGAAGTGGGGGGGGGGGGACTTGACAGTAATTTTGTTTCAATCATCCTATACTGTATCCCTTTCACTTCACATGAACTGCCACTGTGCCACTGTCTGGATTTCAAAAGAAAGCCCTTAATTCCATAGGATGCACTTGCATTAGCTCTCGTTCATCTCCCAGGTATTCTATTCAGTTTGCCATCGAAAATGCCACGAAAACGGTCATTTGGCATTGCCTTTAATTGACAGTGATAGTATTAGTGGATAAAAATGAGCGATGCGGTGCCGTACCCAGTCCACTTTTTTTACACCCAACAAATCTATACGCTTGAAACAAAATTTGGAAAAATGGCCAGTAGTCCAGTACACGATCTAATAAACTCCGGGGGGACCGGGAAGATTTTTGGAATAGACGCCGAGGGCTACTATTCGAGCATTTACGAGACAGTACAGTATTTACCTTTTCGCCAAACGCCAGGTCCCGTTCATTTGCGGTAAGGAGGTCAGAACGTCTTCAAAAGCTCCCTTTTTTTCAGCATCGCAAGATGGCACGAGATATCCCCAGAAAGAATTCGGCACGGGTCCAAAATTCAACACGATCACATCAACTCGCTCATCCGGTGCATATATATCCGCAAGATCCATCAATCCGGAGAAGAGATCCGGGGGGAGAAGATTGTAATCAGCAGGCTAGAATTCGAAGAGTTAATGTCAATAGATACTTGTCCAAAATAAGGTTCTGAAATATCGCACAAAAACGATGAAATTTTCATGCATAAAAAGAGAATGGAGAATTCAGAAAATAAAATCCACGAATTCTTCAAAATTATCTACACGGGTAATGCATCTCACATACAGCAAATACCAGCATTAATCAGTGTGATGTACATACTGTAAAAATGTCTCACTCTCTTCGGATGGTCGATGCAATTACATATTCAAACTTCCTCATACGTTTTAAGCGGAGAAATTTTCCATTAATTTCGCCGCGTACACAACTCGACGGCATGAGAAACACCCCATTGGCTTGAAGATTTCGTAGAAAATGTACATGAACAAAAGAGTAATGCGGAGTTATACACTTTTCGACCACGAAAAAACGATATTTCATCACAGTCATTTACAATACCTTATTCGCTTTCCAACGTAATACCTAATTAATATAAATTGAAACGTACGTCTGGAGAATGTAACGTCGACACGGGCGAGATAGACAATTGGTTACTGATCGGCGGTGAAGAGCCATCAGCACGAAGGTCGATTACCTCGCTTCTATACAAGATAAAAAAAAAATGTCATCACAATACATTTTTACCGCAACTAAACACGAGACTAACGAATCAGGCGAGATCATTCCTAGATTATTGTCACAACATTCTGCATCATGCGACGGAGGAATTTTTTTCTGAAGCGATCGTTGTTCGAGAATGTAGGCATGACCCCTGAGTTTTCGGACGTCCGTAAACGGATACTGTCGAAAATGCTCGATCCTCGCTGAAGCAAGAGCGCGGGACAACCCACTAGAAGCCGACACAGAAAGCACAACCCTGTCGTCAGCGGCTCTTCTGTTGAAAAAAAAATCACAATCATGCCCAGCCAAACTCCTGCTCATCAAGAAAATCCAGAACAAAGTTAAAATTCGTCAAACCATCGGGAAAATGCTTTGACGCGGGAAAAGTTTGTTCCCAGGATTAACACTTCTTTAGATATAAAGGGTATTTCGACCGAATCACGTTTTCATAAAAAATATTACATGCATACACAAAGTACAGTAAGTGCGTGGGTCTTCTAAAAAAAATAGCTCTCCTTTGTCAATGTTACAGAAATATTAATGAGCAAAACTGCCATTCATGAACATGCTGAGAGTACCTCATTCACATCTAAGCAACTTCGAAAAAGTAGGTAGTATTTTCAGTGAGGATGACTCAAGTTGTCCAATTTTATATACAGTATTGTATTGTACATGGAAAGATCAGAAGTGGGCAAGTAGAAGCAATATATTTGCTCATTTATCACTTTTTACACACAGAGGGAAACTTCTCTATAATAAATACTTCACGATCCAGGGAATCCGTATTTTTGTAAATCAAATAAACTTTTTCAAAATGATACTCGTGAAAATCGGTAACAGGGTTACTCTTGATGCGCACTGCCCTGGAGACTGAGGGTGGCTCCTTGTTTTTGCGCATTGGGTGACCCCCCTTGCAGCTGCAAGAGGTGAATCATATCCAGGTGGTGTTTCGCTGACTTTGTTGCTACCCGGATCTTTGGACATGTTTATGGTGCACAAATTTTTAGCTGGTGCTTTTCTGGAATCAAGTTGGCAACAACCAGAAGGGGTATTAAATTGCAAAGGGGTAAGTCCAATTAGTAGGATTGCCCTCCTATTCTCAGACGCTTCTTGTTATTTTCACAAAAATCTTTGTCCAGAAAGCGGCTCTACTTTCAAGTTTTTTTTCATGAGACAGAGACACATCTTTTACTCAAAAGAATTGCTAATCTGCTGCCTCATTTCCCTGAATAGCTTACAGCGATCTTTAGCAGAACCTATGATTTATTTCCAGCTGGCTCTTGAAAATACTTGATTTTTATAGATACTCACACAATACTTTCACAGAACTGACGATGACTCGAAAACCAGTCTAACTTCTGACATGTTGTGCAGCAATAAGGTTCTTGACAAACTGCGCAACGGATAGACTCCACGTTTCCACAACCAGCACGACTGCACAGGCGCTCATTTCCTTCAGGAGACATGCCCTCTTTTTCCCGTCGCACCTAACATAACCCGTGATGAGCGAATATTAATAAATTTCTGCAGCTTCAATGGCATTTCCGGTCTTATTTACCTTGAACGATGATTGTTTTCGGAAACATTGAGACATCACACCAGCAGCACAAGAAACCATAACCTTCCGAAAAGCAGCCTGGAATGTGGAATGCAATGCGAAAATGCGTGAAATATTCAAGAAAATATCCAGATAAAAATGTAACAGGTATTTGCTGATGTGAAAAATTATCCTATGGAAGAGTTTTTCCAATTCAGAAATCTTGCACCGACAATCTTTCACTACATTAAAAATAAATAAAAAAAAAAACTGATGAAAGAATACGAGCAGGTTCCCAGATTCAACACTCATTAAAGATCTACGACACGCGGCAAGAGATAAATCAAGTTTCTTTGTCGTGGCTTCCTCGGTTCAGAATTTTCAGACACTAACGAAAAGAACAGCGGTTGCACAGAATCGATCAAAATATGTTTGGGGCATTTAATCCCCACAAATTTTATCACACGTACTACGATGCAGAGTGAAGGACTAAAAATTGTTTCACCATAATTTACAAAGGAAGAGTAGAGATAACATCACAAAATTTCAAAGCAGAATATTATCCTTTGAAAAAATGAATCCCAATCGTTGATGGAAAACGGCAATTCTCATATAATGTAATTCTAATCAGAGTGACGAACACGCAAGCAAGAAAGATAGAACAGAAATCACATGTATTCTAGTGATTTGGTAACTTCGGATCTTTACAGACCGAATCCGCCGCGACATGGAGGTGAAGGTTCCAATGGCACGTTTTTGTCCCAGTTTGAAGGTGTTTTGGCCTGTTGAAGAAGTTGAAACATCCTCAGGATACCAGATAAGAAGCTAATCAAGAACTTTTTCACCCAAAAATACGACCAAGCTTGGTTGGTATTCCGAATCCCTTTCTCAGTTGTTTCTTATTTTTTTTGCCGATTCCGACAAAAATGCAATTAGGAATTCTTTTTGAAGAAGTGCTGGCCTTGACTCAATGATTCACTAGTTTCACAAAAAATCTGAATACTTCGGGGAGTTTAAACACAAACTTTCGATATTTGTGTTCGAGGAAGGTGGAACGGCGCGAAACAGGGGAATCACGGTACTGTATGATTCAAACCTCAATCGACAAGGCGTGTACACCGGCTTCCAATTCCTCTTTGAGAACTTCGTGGACCATCTGATGCTTCTGAAAACAAACCATGAGCAGGAAATAAATCGCAGGTAATGCCAAAATGTGTACAACGAAAACAAACCTTCAATAATGATTTTCCGTCGAACTTTTCAGAAACAATTCGAACTTTGAAATGAGTTTCTGCTCCCGGTGGCGTGTTGTGTTTATGGGACTCATTCAGTATCTCAATGTGCTCCGGTTCCAATTGATCAATCAACTTGCTCCGCATTCTCATTTCGACTGGTCCACCAGAAACAGGCACTCTATGCGTACTCATTACGTTATGGGTAACACGAACTTGTCTCACAACTCCTAAAATCATTAAATCTCAGTATTTTTCAAACATGCATCATGTTCACTTTGAACTCACGCAGGAAACGTATATATCCACCGAGCGTGTTCGGAGTAGACATTCTACCTATTTATTCTGCAAATGAATTAATGTTTAAAAACAGATTGAATTTATAACATTTTTCCACAGTACTCGGAATTAGACTTTCAAGAAACTCATTGTCCCTTCCGAGAAAGGCATTTTATTGTGAACAATCGAAAGTTAATGAAGATAAATTGTCGCCTTTACTTATTTCCGATGCGTTCGACTGAACACAGAATCCGAAGTCCCCAGAATTATGAATACGAAGTCGGTTCACAATTTTGTTAGCACCCTGAAATTAATTTACTTTTTGAGCACGCAATTTCATAAGCCGGAGTATTCCAAAACCACTGAGAGGCCCATAAAGATACAAAGCGAACTTCTGTTCGTTTTTTCACGATTTCCGTGAATTGCAGCCCCAGCATGGGCAACTTGCTGACATCCAAGTAAAACCTTGCCGATGCACATTACCGACAAAGAATCACCAAGATCAGAATGTTTTTAATTGGAACAAAATTTGGTCAGTTCTAGCACACTGACTCGCGAGATACAGTATTTTTCGATCATTCCGAATTTCTGGAGGCACTTCAGTCTTTAAATACATAAAGCCTATGGTGAATTAGCCTCGTTTCCGCGAAGTAATGCGGTGAATGTTGATCACCGTCTTTCACATTTCCACTTTGATGATAAAACTTGAGAAGTTTTTCCGTAAATCATCGAATGACTCCGAAGATAACTTCCATTTACATATATAAATTGAACAAAAATAAAAAAGAAGCACAAAAACAAAACGTACGAACCAATCATCCCAATTGAACGCAATCTAGACACACCCTAGGACATCGATCGACGATCACCACACGTAAAAGCGATGGATTCAGTTAGGCTGTGCGAATGAAAAGACAGAGAAGTTAAGTTGCTACAAGAATTCAGCGGAAAATTCAAGATGTTCACTTTAGAAAGACTGGACACACCGCTGAGTAAACCATTTATAGCTCCCCAGAGTCCTTCACAAAGCATAGCAATAAACGATAAAAATTACGTTCATGAAAATAAAACAGAGACTAACAAAAATCCGACAACACAAGGAATACTTGATAATAGCATCATCACTGCATCTTCTTTGATGCACCGGAACAGTCCAGTATCTCAATAGCACATCGTCGAGGAAACCATCCTCGGATCCGGTGAGCTGCATTTGGTTCTAGAGAGCGTCCTTCCGCCTTGACTTTTTCGCCGTATAACCAATGTCTGAGGAGCAAAAAATCCTCCGTTCCTCAATCGAACACACGAAACCTCGATGATTTTCGAAAAACTTCGACACAGATCACTCATTATCCAACAGGCAAAATTGTCTCGTCAATTTAGAATACAGTAACTCATTGGGTTCACACATGACAAGGAACATAGAGAACAAAACTTCCGTGAACAGAAGAAACTTGACTTTGAATCCAGTGTAATCCGAATTGCGGATAAACTACTGAGCATAAGCAAGATTCTCAGATTCACCAGTATGACATTTGATATTATTAATTTTAATAAATGAAGTAAAGTGCCGGGAAAATATTAACGCATAAAATTATTTTTAAATAAGAGTAATTTGTAAAAACTAAATCAGGCAATTTGGTTCAAAACTGATGGTAGATGCAGCACTAAAATGCCCATGGTCACTCAGAGGGTAAAATTAAGGGAAGTAGCATTGATTCGTCTGGCACGACACTGAGGCAGAAAAAGACACGCTTGGGAAGGATGTGTTCATCAGGAGAAACGTACTGTACATGGTTTTGCCACGGAACGAATGACATCACCGCTTTCATTCAGCCGAAGATTTTAGCGAAGTTTCGTCTCAAGTACACAAAACTCACTTTTTCCACCTAGTTACGACAACCTCGTCTCCAATTTTCAACGCAATTCGAGGTTCGTCAGAATAGGGAGGCCGACAACAAATGGCTGGTCCTTTGAAAATGGGCAACCAAGCGCCGGAGTACACCTCGATCACGTTATACGACTTCGTTCGCTCTCGCTTCGCTCTTTTCTGAGCTATTTGTTCCATCTGATGCAGAAACGCAGGAAACCGTTAGGAAATGGTGGAATGCTCCAAGGACGTAAAACGGGAAGCCAGTGTCAGAAGAAGAAAAAGAAACTGACCGTAAAAGTAAATTGATCACAACCAGGGACAACTGGCCACAGAAAACCGCATCCACGCGGTTCCGAATTCCAAGAGAGAACTTGCGCCAGATTGCTCTTCCAACCCAAATCGTACGGGAACTTGAAAGGGGCAGAACCCGGTTCCCTGCGCCATCGAGCTTTTTCAGCAATCCATTGTTCAATCCCGGTCTGATTGCACCAAACCATTTTAAGCTATTCGAAGGAAGAAACATGCTATTGTGAACTATGTAAATTTGTGTACCGTGATCACTTCAGTTTGAGACATCATTAGTAACAAAACAACTTTACTGGCACATGTTAGAAGCACACTTGATGCATTTAGTTTCGTCAGAATAACAAGAATCTGTTGGTATTCATGCCTCAGAGTACAGCTTGATCTCCTCGAATAATTCCAATAAAAGTCAGAATTACAAGGATTTCCGCGATTTAATTAAAATGTGACTTATCCATTTAAATTTGATCTTTTTCTTAAAATTGCGTTGGTCAGAAACAATTCTAAACTTGATAGGTGAATTTAAGACACAGTAGAGAATAATCCATCACGTTTGATTCAAATTTTCACAGACAAAATGCGTCTCATACTCGGTCACCTCATTACCTGATAGTAGAGCAACATTCCTACTGCAACAATCACTCCGACGGCCAACCCAGCAGAAAACAAGCACCCGACGAATCCCACAACACGCATGTGGACAATGGGTTGATCTCGAGGTCCATAATGAACATACCAGCTCTGAAAAATCACAGAACATGAATAACTCTCCCTGTCAGCTCTTAATATTGCATCGCATTCGTACAACGTTGATCGAGCGGAATATGCAGATGATCAAAATGGTGAAGGCATGAACACAACCAATAACTGCAGATGCAAGAAAGTTTATGAAATGCCCCTGGTTAAAATGCCCAACGCAGTTATTAATCCACGGACAGTGATGATCCATTTTCATCACACAGCGTTTGCCTGAAAGTAGGAAGAAGTATTGAGTAACAGATGCGTTCATCCAAAACTCCACCACTTACATTTACGACAGTGATGGGACCTTGGGGCTTTATATCCCTTACACACCTCACAGAACTGCAAAATTTGTCGATACCAGTCTTCAAGCGAAACCTCGGAATCAGTCAAAACTTCTTCTCGTTCGGCAGAAAGACCATTTGCGTTATCACAAACTTTACCGCAAGCATACATTTTTCGAACTTGCTGAGGATCAAATCCTGCGGCAACTAGGAATTCTTCGTCCTTGCAACGAACGGATAATTAACAGATGCATAACCGTATCATCAATTGAAAACTAACCGGCTTCCAGCCCAAAGGAATGAACCCAGGGCCAATTGCAATGCATGAGAAGAAATGGTAAAGTACGAGGCCGTTCCACGTGAGAAAGACACAAATATGCAGGAATCCCCATAAACTCGATAGTGGGGGCCACCACATCGTTATGCACATCAGGCTGCATAATGAGATCATCTTGATAATGCCTGCAATCACACAGTGCATCCATTAATGAATTGATCACTCAGCAGAGCCTGCCGAAGATTTTACTCACCCAGAGCTACCAAGGGACCCCAGTAAAAAACTTTGCGCAGCATCTTCACGGAATGCAGACGTAACACAAGAGCGTATCAAATATTCACAAGCTTCGCCGTGTCACGCGGGATTCGATCTTTCTTACTTGCCATCAACATTTTCACTTCGACGCAAGCACATCTTTCGCTTCCGTCCTGCCCCTCGACCGCCAGCATTCGGGCGGTAAAATGTAGATCAGCTAAATATGAATGACTTCACTCTTATTCAACTCCATGTTGCAGGAATATTTAAACTCTACATATTCACAAATAAAACGTTTTTAGGCATAAATCCGAAGCCATTTGACGAAAAACGAAACACGGGAGTTATGGAGGGAAAAACCGCAGCGGCTCATCTTACTCAGCAATCCCCTCGTGGAAAAATATCCAACAAACCGATCCTATCCTGTGAACTCGCTCCACACGATATTGATGCACAGTACTGTATGCTGCATGTGGAACACGGCAATCCAGGTCAGTGGCTGGGACACTTGAACACACTTGAGAATCTATATGATGCCTGCAGTACAGTATTTCCCCGTTTTTTCTTATTTTTATGTACTCCGGACACTGTAAACAAAATAATCAAGTTAGTCCTTCTAGATGTTGGTCGTCTCAATTTAATGTGATTTTTTTGACTAATTCGTATGCTGTTTCAATGAATGCATGATATGTGCAATGCTAAGGCTGGATACATTTATTAATGAAATGTATGCTGTGCTGTATACAGTACAGTATAGTAAAAGTATTCTGCTATTGATTATTGTAGCAGTACTGTATACTGTGCCGCCAACATTAACTGCAAAAAAATGTTCTCAAATCTTATCCTTGACAATAAACGGGAAAAAATTCTGAAAATTCAATAAATTTACTTTCCATGCCTAACGAAAATAACTGATGTGCATAAGGAAAAACTGTACGTATAATAATCTGCTCTTTTGTAATAAAAAGAAGCCCAAAGAGGAAAGCAAAGCACTCTGTCTAAACACATATATTGCTTTACTGTAAACGGTTAATGGGGTAATCCTCGAACAGATCGAGAAGCACAAAATTGGCCTGCATTGAACAATAAATTTGCATTCTCCAGCAATTTCGAGCATTCATGCGATGAATATAAAAGAAAGATAATAAAGCATTCGCTGCGAATGGTAGATTAGTTAAAATCTTCAAACCTATTTGAAATGCTAAACTTCGCGCAAAGAAAGGACTGTAACTGTACGCCTTATTAATAAAAATTTACATGCGAAAATTAAAAAATTGAAATTTCGTTTTCGTTTTTCTGTGGAATTAATTCGTTAAACTTACAAAATTTATTTCGAAAATTCCAGAGAATTGTATCTCATTCGGATGTAGTGTGCTTGCTGGTTCAAGATGTCATGAATTTAATATACAGTACTGTAATGTACAACATACGGTATGCGCAGTCAGAAGCTAGAATTACATTATTTCAAAGTTGATGGAATAATCTTAATTTTCACTTTTTGTTCAAAGCAGCTAGGTGGTCAATTTTTCAAGAGGTCTCCCAAATTAGAAAATTAACACTTTCCGCATATGTTTGTGTTTTCGACAATATTTTTGTATCATGGCTCATGGTCCAGCAACTGTTCGGCACACACGAGGGTTGTCCCAATTTCGCTTATTGGCCTTGGATATTTATGGAGTAGGTACCACTGTAAAAAAAATAATATGTATATGATGTAGCCCTTGCAATTCTAAGGTTCTGGGATTTTTTTCAGTTAAAAAATCTAGATATACTGCATGAAGATCAATGAAAACTAGGAAGTCATGGAGAGAGTTCTCCGCCCATGTCACAAGCTGTTAAAACTTTTTCAGGCCCGACAAAAAATGAATTTTTTTAAACACAAAATTTCTCACATCTCATTGTGAAATTTTCACATTTTTAATGATTTTTTTGTTTCCAAAAAATGAAAACCCAAATGCATTTTTTTCAAGAGCAGGTGTTCATTCAAAATTTTTTTATTTCGTCTTTTACAAAATCATCATCCAAGTTATAGTTTCTGCCTGTGATATCTTTCTTACTACTTCAAAATTTTACAGAACTTCTGTCTTTTTTTTTTTTTGTTCTGCCTCACGGCCAGAAAGCAGGGCAAGGAGACGTCTGCCAAAGTCCAGCTGTATTTTGTCCTCCCTTCCCACCCATCACCGGATTTTCTTCCTGTTCGCACAGGTTCCACTCCTCACCTCTTTTTCCTTTCCTCTGCAGGTAAAAATAAAAAAATAAAAAATGAATAAAAAATATACAGGAAAGTTTTTTAAATTTCAAGGTAATAAGAAAAAAAGCACTGCTGAGTGCTGAGTGCTGACAGAGGCTAATCCTTGGATGATGTTATTGCAAACTAAATAGAAAAATGGAAATTAACTCTTTCTCTTGAGAAAAAATGCAAAATGTTCTTATAGGTTTTCATTTATTGCGAACAAAATAATCAAAGATGTTGAAAATATCAGAAGATATTTAGGAAAGTTTATGCTAGAAACAACATGAAATTTTAAATCTTTTATCTAACTTGAAAAAGTTTAATTTTTTGTTATAGAGAGAGAGAGAGAGAGAGAGGCTGCTGTTTTTTTTGTTGTTCCATGTTCCACACGTTTTTGGCGAGAAAACGACACAAATATGCAATCACAAAACGCTTGTAATTGACCCTTTTTCTTTCAACAGATATTTATAAGGAAAATCACAGCAGCAAAGAGCGTCAAATTGAAAATAAATAACTTTTGAAGTCTGAATAAAACTGCAAGAGCGTGATGAAAGCTTTTACAGTATACTGTATTCAAGCTAAATTGCTTCTGGAAAGGGATGGGAGATCTTTTTTCCCTTATGAGTACTGTATTGAAATCCTTATGAAAATTTGTGGGATTTTTTTGGAGCGACCGGGAAGTTCGTGCAAGTTTTGAGCAGTTCTATAGCCCATGAGCAGAGGCTCAATATTTATATAAGCAACAATAATAAATAAATAAATAACTAATATACAGCTGAATATTTCAATTTCAACTGGGGTGAACGGTTGTCTCAATTATTCGAATCTCTGAAATAATTGCTTAAATTAAAATTTTGTCATAAGGATATATACCATAGCAATTTTACTCAAATTTACACTTCAGGGATTTAAACATTTAATTGTTTAAAAATCGTAGTTTTTTCTGTTGGCTTTATAGGAATACAGTATTTTGAATCCATGCACCCAATTTTTGAAAATATATCAGGGTTGAATTTAAAAATCGAATAGATTGGGCCTTCAGAATGAGATACATTTTTCTTCGCTTAATTGGAGTGCACACTGGTGGTCACATTTTCACCACACAAAAATACTCATATACAGTATAAAGTTTAGCGTAAATCAGTGTCAGCGTTTGTTTAAAAAAAGGTGCCAGAATAAATAAGCAGGATCTATATACTGTATGAAGACAAAAATGCGAAACTCATTACAGACCATATAAAAGAAAGTGTACCAAATGCCAAAACCTTGAGTAAGTTCATGATGGGTAAACGTATTGCACCTCTTATTACAGTACTGCTGTATACAGCTGTACAATTTTACAGCTCTTTGTTCTCTAAATACTGTATGTATACCCGTCAGAAGAGTTTCATAACATTTTCACCGAGGATGGGAAAACCACGCAAGCTCATTGATTTAATAATGTCAATTAATACATATTTTGGTATGTTTTCCATGCAATCTTCGACAGCACAAAAGCATCGTGTATCGTCAGACAAAATGCAGATCTCGAAACGCTTGCGCGACTCGCGGAAGAAGCTGGTCTTTGAATCGCCACAAGGATAAGTCCTCAATCAATACGATCTTCCCATTGCTTTCACCTGCTTTTAATTGCTCTGTAGAAACGTTTTTGTAGTGATGAGAAGACGCAATCAACGGGGATACGTGAAAAAATGAACACCATCCAGCAGCAGCACCCAAACAAGCGAGTGGAGCATGGCTGTGGGCGCGAAGCACTTCTGAGGTGTTGAAGAAGCTTTTCACTGCATGCCCGGGTTTGGAGTATCCCACGCGATGAACAGTGTTCAGCTTGGTGAGGTAACTCGGAATGTCATCAGCAGGGTTCCATTCCTCCGGGGTCCCCTTCATATTCAGTGGGTAATATGCGTTGCGAAACGAGATGGACGAATAGGGCATTGCGTACGCCGTCACGTCACGTACCAACTCTTGCCAATTGTCCGCGTATTCAGGCACAATCATCTCGTCCAGGTCGAGCATGGCGATCAGGTCGTGGCGATAAAAGTTCTTGTAGACGCAGTCATTGCCTGGGATCAGTTCCAGGTACCGCCGGAAATCGTCGGTTGCGTACAGAAAGTGGTTGCGGAGGAGTGGCGTGTTTGGTCCGTCGCCCGGGACTGACATTCTGGAAACCTGCAGGAAGTCCTTTTCCTCGTAGTACCTGAAGAGGTAAATTAAATTCTTGGTGACACACTCTGTCTTTACCTAGTCCATATATACAGTACAAGGTTCGAAAAGAAATTATGCATACCCAATTAAAAAAATAAAATCCTAGCATATAGACAATTTTTTAAACTTCTGCATGAACATATGAAAAGAAGATTTTCAGGGCATATCTATTTCTCTGTTTTAATTGTGTAATAAGTTGCTTGAACGACAGATATAAATAATAATCCAAAAAAGTGTTTCCGGGTCGGCCGAAAACTGTGCTACATATACAGAAGGTGGGGGACTACATTTTTGAAACTTACAAAATTTTAGATATATATCGCCATCTTATGCACCAAAGACCCTGTAAGAGGCTCGCATCTGTAACTTTGGCTTTTTCAGGGGAAATTTTCCAACAATTATTTCAATTCAGTTATTTAGTTTTCTGAATTCCATTCTCGTGCTCACTGCTGCTGCTTTTGTAAACCACGTATATGAATATCATTACGTTTACTCTGATATCATATGTTAATTGA